AGGGGGAGATAGGGGGAGATAGGGGGAGATAGGGGGAGATAGGGGGAGACCTTCCCGCTTCTAGGTGGCTCTGCCGAGGTCCCACGCCGCCGGGTGGGAAGTGGAGCGGCGCGAGCCCGCCCGGCGCCGGCTGCTGGCCGCTGTGCTGGCCGCTGTCCTCGTGCTGGGACGAGCCTCCGCCCTCGCGGCACGGCTCGCCGCCCCCTCCCCCCCCGCCCAGCTGGCCGTTGTCGTCGAGTCCCCACGAGTAGACTTGGCCTAGAAGGTTCCTAGAAGGTTCCTAGAAGGTTCCCAGAAGAAGCGCCCCACGAATAGACTTGGCCGTTGCGCAGAGCGGCGCACGAGTGGTGCCCGCCCGCGGCGATGCAGACCACGGCCTCGCCGCGCAGCGCCTCGACCCGCATGGGAGAGAGCCGGTTGGCCGTGTCGCCCTGCCCAAGCCGGCCGTGCTTGCCCTTCCCCCAAGAGTAGACGGCGCCTGGACCACCAACGACGGCGGTGCTCGTTAGCTCAGAGACGCTGCGCTTGTGTCCGTCCCTCGAGCAGGCGGCGCCTGAGTACCAACAGCGTCCTCAGAAGAACCAAACACAACAGAGAGTGCTCTGCGCTTGCCCCTCGAGGCGGCGCCGCTGTCGGTGAGCGCCATCGAGTGCTTGTACCCCGCCGACACCGCCACCACGCTGCACTCGCGCAACGCCTCGACGAGCTGCGGCACGTGCCTGTCCGAGAGGCAGCCGAGAGGTAGCCGGGAGGTAGCCGGGAGGTAGCCGAGAGGCAGCCGAGAGGCAGCCGAGAGGTAGCCGGGAGGTAGCCGGGAGGTAGCCGAGAGGCAGCCGGGAGGCAGCCGGGAGGTAGCCGGGAGGCAGCCGGGAGGCAGCCGAGAGGCAGCCGAGAGGTAGCCGAGAGGCAGCCGAGAGGTAGCCGAGAGGTAGCCGGGAGGTAGCCGAGAGGTAGCCGGGAGGTAGCCGGGAGGTAGCCGGGAGGTAGCCGAGAGGTAGCCGAGAGGTAGCCGGGAGGCAGCCGGGAGGCAGCCGGGAGGCAGCCGAGAGGTAGCCGGGAGGCAGCCGAGAGGCAGCCGAGAGGCAGCCGAGAGGCAGCCGAGAGGCAGCCGAGAGGCAGCCGAGAGGCAGCCGAGAGGCAGCCGAGAGGCAGCCGAGAGGCAGCCGAGAGACAGCCGAGAGGCAGCCGAGAGGCAGCCGAGAGGCAGCCGAGAGGTAGCCGGGAGGCAGCCGGGAGGCAGCCGGGAGGCAGCCGGGAGGCAGCCGGGAGGCAGCCGAGAGGCAGCCGAGAGGCAGCCGAGAGGCAGCCGAGAGGCAGCCGAGAGGCAGCCGAGAGGCAGCCGAGAGGCAGCCGAGAGGCAGCCGAGAGGCAGCCGAGAGGCAGCCGAGAGGCAGCCGAGAGGCAGCCGAGAGGCAGCCGAGAGGCAGCCGAGAGGCAGCCGAGAGGTAGCCGAGAGACAGCCGAGAGGCAGCCGAGAGACAGCCGAGAGACAGCCGAGAGGTAGCCGAGAGGCAGCCGAGAGACAACCGAGA